CGCAAGTTTTCCTGGAGCCCCTTTAGGCACTGGAGCTGCTCTAAGGTGTCCCCTTCAGGAGCCTTCTCTTCTCCAGCTGCCCCAGCCCAGCTCTCTCAGCCTGGCTCCAGAGCAGAGCTGCCCCAGCCCTTGCAGCAGCTCCATGGCCTCCTCTGGACTCACTCTAACACACCCAGCCTCCTCTAGATAAAAACCCATATGAAAACTAACAGCTTTAACTAGATGTACTTGAGTGATCAACTTCAAATCTAAACGTTGGGAACACAAGAGACATCTTCCCATGTGCCGAATTATCTCCAGCTCTCATGCACCACAGGCTTTTGCTATTTAAGTGATGAAGACTGCAAGTATTTGACAACACTGCTGCTAATTAGGAGTCAAATATGCTGTTGTACCTACATGCCTCTTCAGGGCATTAATATTTATCAACAGTACTTATCTTAAGAGAAATATCAGCTCCAGGCAGAAAAATGGGTGGCATTTCTCAAACCCCAAAGAAAATCCATTAAAACATGGCAAGCTGGTCCCGGGATGAAGGATTTCAGAAGCTTTACAAGAAGTTTCAAGATCAAACTTTCAAGTTTTCTAATCCACATTTACAAAACCACCCAGATTTAACAAGGAGACAGTCCTCAAGTGCCAGCACGTCCTCAACTTTTCCCCACCTCCCCATAGAATTACAGTCCAATGAGGTGCAAGGCAGAGATTCAGTGAGTCTCCAGAGCCGGGGCTCTGCTGGGCTGTCTGTCCTCTGACTGCAAAACTCTTCTTGCAAAGGAATGGAAAAAGAAAGCCACCAGATTTGGTGAAACTTTGAATTGTCAGGAACAAGCATGTAAAGGATAGGAAAGGTGCTGCAGAGAGTTGTAGCCACCACCACAGCTATACCTGGCTTCTCTCGGATCTGATCCACGGGTTTTGGTTCAGGAACCTCAACCACCACCACCTCCTCCTGCTTCTCTTCCTCTATGGCTCTGAACTCAACTTTTTGAGTCGCACGTTTAGCTGAAGAAATGGGGCACATGTTAAGGACTGCCCACACAGCAGATGCAAACAGGCTGCAGACTTCAACGGGGACACAAGCGTGACATTCACAGGCTGCTCTTTTCCAAGCTCTGACATTCAAGTGCAGGACTGCAGCATGGATTCTTCCATACATCTGGGGTTGTAAAGGTCTACAGGGCATGGCCAAGGGGCAACCAACACTGCTGGTCCTTTTGCCTCTGTGCATCATGCCTGGGTAACCTCACACACCCAGATCGCAACAAGCTGGCATCTTGCTTTGCTGAGGTGCGGAGCTCAGACCAAGCAGCCCTCCCCTCCCAGCTCCGAGGCATGAAGCCCAGGCTTGGGTGTCACTGAGCCCTGTAAACCCATGTCAGGAGCAGGGGCAGCCTGGCTGTTGCTGGCCACAGAGTGCTGGGGCAGCTCTGCTGCCTCCCAGGCTGCAGCACGACCGCAGGGCTCAAAGCAATTCTGTTCCTGCGCTGTCAGGTGCCCTTGGGGCAATGAGGTGCTCCCCTTTCCCTGGATCCTAATTTCACAAGCACCCCACAATCCAGATCAAGGGGAGCAAACTTAGAAACTCCCCTTCCTTGCCTCACCTCCACTGGCCTGCTGCTATCTGGCTCTTTAAAAAACGCCAGGGATGAGCCCACCTGACTGAAGGCCACAAGCTTCAACATGGGCATCGTTTAACACTGGAAAAGTTTCAAACAGTTGTGGCAAGAAAAACTGTGTAATTTAAGCAGCTAAACAAATCCTAGAACAGCTCAGGTCCTGATTTGCTAAAAGGAAAATGCATAGAGGTGGAATGAGGAAATATCTTTACAAGCAGAACTTTACCATGAGCCTTCAGCACCCACCTACATCCTTTTTGTCAGTCAGTTCTCACTGGTACTACTATCACTTTGCGGTTTACATCCAGGTCTTGTAGTAAAGCGAGAAGTGATGGTTTGGGTTTTCTTTAAAGCAGGGAATTGGGTGGTATTTAAGGAGTATTTCAGCACTCTATTGAATCCATCATGGAGAGGGGAGAGCAGCACACTCACCTCCATCCAGGCTCCTGGACGCTCGCTTACTTGCCGTGCGCTCGAACTGGGGCGCGGGGCGGTCGATGAGGGCACTCGCCTGCCTCGTCTGCGCCTGCGTCCGCCCGCTGTAGCGGAACTTGGAGCCCAGCGCCAGGAACCTGCTCTTTGGGATGGCCTCAGTGGAAGTCAGCCTGAAAACCAAGCACACGGGTTAGAAACCAAGCCTGCAGGTGCAGGAAGCAGCAGGTGAAGGGAAATTCACATACAAATTAGTCTCCTGCACACACCTGACTAACAAAACAACGCGCACTGGCAATAACCCCACATCTACATGAGACAGAAGACCTTTGCCTTATCACGGATTCATGGAATGGTTTGGGTTGGAAGGGACCTTAAAGCCCATCCAGTTCCAACCCCTGCCCCGGGCAGGGACACCTTCCACTAGAGCAGGTTGCTCCAAGCCCCTGTGTCCAACCTGGCCTTGAGCACTGCCAGGGATGGGGCAGCCACAGCTTCTCTGGGCACCCTGGGCCAGCACCTCAGCACCCTCACAGGGAAGAGCTTCTGCCTCAGAGCTCATCTCAGTCTCCCCTCTGGCAGGTTCAAGCCATTCCCCTTGTCCTGTCCCTCCAGGCCCTTGTCCAAAGCCCCTCTCCAGGTTTCTTGTAGCCCCTTTGGGTACTGGGAGCTGCTTTAAGGTCTCCCTGGAGCCATCTCTTCTCTAGGCAGCCCAGGACACAGTTATTCTTACACACTTTATGAAGTGGAAGCTGCCTAGAAATCCATTGCAATATACATATTTAACGTCTCTGCAAGCATTTCACTCCACATTTTGTGAAGCCCTAAGGAACTCTGAAGGAATGCTCATTTTTAGCAGCTATTCTAAAGCATTAGTTGGTTAAGGTGAACCCAACACTCAGAAAACCCACCTGAAAAACGTGTGATGTTCAACACAGACTTTCCACAGCTTCTTTGCTGCCCGGTAACTTGGGAGCTTGAACCCAATTGTACTTTCATACTGCTCTTGCTGCAGAAAACACAAATATTAGCAAGAAATAAACGTGGCAGGAGTCCAGTCCCCAGCCCATTGCCCCATTGTACTGCAGCACAAACTGCTGGCCTAGCCCAAGAGCAGCTGAACTCACTCCACAACGTGCGGGAGGAGCTCAGGTGTGACCAAAGAACACAAGCTTGACCACAAACCTGAGCATCTCTCCTGATGCACAGGGATTTGCAGAGCCAAGTGCTGTGGGTTTTGCAGTCATTTAGACTCATTTAACCCCTACCACACTGCCCAGCTGCAGGATGGGGTTGAACACTGACCTCCCTGCAAGGCTGGGTCATGGCAGTTGAAGCACAACGAGGGAGAAGGAGACAGAAATCCCATTGCAGCCTCTTTCCCCACCGTGTTTCCAGCGACCAGGCTGCTCCAAGAATCTCCCCATTCATAAGAAGCAGCATCAGGGCAGCCTTCCCCTGCCTGCTGCAAGCTAAGTGCAAAGTATGGCTCTGTATTTCTAAGTACCCTTTTGGTTTTAAACGAAATGAGACAAAGAGCCTCTGTCTCGCCCCATTTCCAAGGAAGGAGTTAGTCCTCTCCCAGTTTCAACCAGGAACTTCCCACCGGTTTCCCCGGGATGCTGGGAATACCACGCGGTGCCAGGAGGTGGTGCTGGATGACACGTTGTTAAAACTGTCGCCTGCTGGCTCATAGCTCCAGCGAGCTCAGTGGGTTCTACCCGAACTTAACACCAAGCCAGGACCAGAAACCCGGCAGAGCCTGGAAACGCCCATTCAGAGAAAGGCTCCCTCCCTCTCCCGCGGTGGTTCAGCGCAGCACACACGCTGGGGGTAACCAGAAGGCATTTAAAGACCACCAGGAAGCCAGAACTTGCCTCCCCTGGGCGAATCTTGATGAAGAAGCTGCTGCGCTTGTAGGAAATCTTCAGGACTTTGGGCCACGGGAAGCGGTTGATTCTCAGTTTGTCTTTGTAAACAAGAAGGCCACTGGAACAGACTCCCAGAGTGATGTCCACTCCTTCCAAGTCCTGGGAAAGCAGATGAGGTTTAAGCAGTGTCAGGGTTACAAGTTTCGGGTCAGTATCCGCCTTTAATGATCCCTTTGGTCTTCTGCATCCATCTCCCCACCACCCCAACTTCAGCTGCCAGCTCTCTTGCTTTTCCTTCACGTTTCTCCTTCCAACCTCCTCCCTTCTGCTCTCTCCTGATGCTGTCTGCTTAAAGGGTTCATCTCGAGCCTGTCCTGCATTTCCCTGAGCACAGTGGCTCATGTTGCAGAGTCAGAGCTGTATATTCTAAGGTCCTCAGAGCAAGGACCTGTCTACACCAGGAGCTTTGTAAAGCTTCCTGTAATATATTAAGTAATAAGCAATCAGGAAGCATCACTTCTCTTCAAGAGTGCTTGAGGCACTTGTGTTGTGTGTCAGTGTTTCCCTACTTCCTCTGTCTTTCAAAAGGAGCCTCCTGAAATAGGCAAACTTGCTCCTGCAAGGGGGAAGGATAAGTGCAGTTACAAACTCCACAGGCAGGTGCACACATGCTGATTCTCACCTTGGCTTGGTGAAGGTCCACTCCATACATAGACAGCTTTTTTGCATTCTCAAGAAACTCCAGATCTGCTTGGGCTGGAGTCATGGACCTGGGGAAAAAAAGAAAGAGAGAAAGGGATTGGTACTCCCCTATCTGTTGCTTTTAGCAGGGGACAGATCAGGCTTCCAAAACCATTCACTCATTTCGTTTTCTTTAGTGTCAATACAAACTTGTGCCCAGATGTAGATGTACAAATATAGATATTTATGTCTAGATTTAGGCCAGGTTGGACACAGGGGCTTGGAGCAACCTGCTCTAGTGGAAGTTGTCCCTTCCTGTGGAAGAGGGCTAGAACTGGATGAGCTTTAAGGTCCCTTCAACCCAAACCAGGCTGGGATTCTGTGATGAATTATTAAATTACTGTAAATGCACAAATTTCTGCTTTGAGCCATCCTCCTAAACCAGATGCACTTCATTCCTGTGGGGCTGCAGAGACACTGGAGAAGAAAGGGAGGAAGTGCTGTAAGGGGCACAAAACTTGATCCAGTGGAAGAAAAGACCGCAGGCAAAGGGTGATGGGTATGATGGGTACCATCCTCCCAGCCCTCCTGCCTCCAAACCTCCCAAACCCAGCTATTGTTCTCCAAACCCAAGGCCAGGACAGCTGAGACCCCTCAGCAGTGACTCCTATGGGGCAGAGCAGATGAATGAGCAGTTTCTGGGAGCAGATGGTGCCCTGTCACCAGGAAAAGCAACACAACTTCGTTTAACAGCAGCATCCTGCTAATGGAGGATTAGCAACGTTCTCGAAGTGCCCTTGTTAATAAGTTTCTGGGGAGCAAGATACATCCAGCAGCAATGCTGGGAGAGAATTCAGCTGCATCCACTTCATTTTGTTCCCTGCTTTGATGTCTCCCTTACTGAGCACTCACATACATCTTGTGTGCGATGTAAAGAGAGGTTTTAGTGGTGGGAGATAGGGCAGAGAAAGACAAATGTGAGGACAATCCTCTAGGAAAGACCTGGAGCAGTTGCCTGACACACGCCTTGTGCTTTGCAGCTGAAGTAGCAAGAGATGGAGCACGGTTTAGCAGAGTTTCCCCCCTGAAAACCTTCTGACAGTTTGATGTCCACAGAATAAAGACCAGAAATTACACAGGGTACATGCTGCTTCCCCCTACACACTCTAGCAGATTAAATATAACTCCATCCTATACCTTCAAGTATCCTTCTAATGAAGCCATGAATAATTCAGCAATGAGATCTGCCACTCCTAGCACAGCTAATGGCCTTTGACTCCAAGTCATGAAGCTTGTCAGCAGCCCAGGACTTATTTTCCCTCATCTCCTCTCCTCTCAGTGCAAATGGAGGGGAATCAATTGAAAGTATTGATCTGTGGGGTTGAGCAAGGTGTTAATTGTAGCTTTGGTCACAGCTGGAGGCACATGTCCACCCTTCCCTACTGCACTTGAGTTATTAGTTCCCATCTGCCTGTGAGCAGGTCTCATCTTTGCTCTGTTCTTGTTACTAGTGCATTAACCAGCAGCTTTTCACAGGTCAAGAGGCTGCTGGTTGAAGGCCTCAATATCACCAAGTGGTTTTTTGGGCTTTTTTCCCTCCCTAGAACCCTAATGTGTCTCTGGGAGGGAGCAGAAGCTGCTGCCCGCCCACTCTGCACAGCAGCACTTCTGCAACCCAAGCACTTGAGAGCATCTATGAAAATCAGCTCAAAATAAGATGAGGAAGAGGTTTGGTTATTGTCACATTTTAATATGGTATCAGGGGGACTCCCAGGAGTCCTTCAACCCTACCTGAACAAGACACATCTGCCTGGGTCATGGCCATGCAGGCAAACACCTTGAGGACAACCTTAACCACAGGTTTCTACCTCCTGCATCACCTGCAATACTTCCATATTACAAAAGTTTTACTCCAAACATGCTGTAGGGTACTGAGTAGACACACGAAGAGATGAGATTTGCTCCAGCCAGACTGCAACCCCCAAACCAAGTATTAAAAACAAAAGACAAAGGGAAGGTAAAACCAAGCAAACTTTGTATTTTCACATGAAATAAACCCACTTTCATGGCCACGCTGTTGAAGAAGAGCACCTTACCTGTATGTTTTATGAAGCTCCACAACCTTCTCCTCGAGCTCTTTTGTCTGGTTTGGGGCCAGTTTGAATTCAGTGATGTAATCTGGGCCGTGCAGGTCAGGATCGTAGTCTCCCAGCTCAGACTGGACCGTGTAGGAACCCAGCAGAGCCAGAGTGGCAAAGGAACAGGGCAGCCGCCCCGCGAGGATGTCTTGTCTGAGCTGAAGACACAAGTAATACCTGAGGGGGGAGGAAAATACTATGTACAGAGAATGCAGAGAAACTTGAGGATCAAACAGAGTCCAGCCTGGCCTTGAACACTGCCAGGGATGGGGCAGCCACAGCTTCTCTGGGCACCCTGTGCCAGTGCCTCAGCACCCTCACAGGGAAGAGCTTCTGCACAAGAGCTCATCTCAATCTCCCCTCTGGCAGGTTCAAGCCATTGCCCTTGTCCTGTCCCTCCATCCCTTGTCCAAAGCCCCTCTCCAGGTTTCCTGGAGCCCCTTTAGGC